TCCTTTCTCCCATTCAGGACTAAAGACAGACTCTACAGGTTCTGAAGGCATTCCCGCTCTTTATTTAGGAGTGAATGGAAAGTGCTAGGATTCATTAAGCGTTCCCTGTATTAATTTATTATTGATTTCTACTGGTTTCTCAGTTGGAAATGTTAGAAATCCCTGAAAACAGAAAAATATTTGTCCAGATGACCCCCTCCTTCCCCCCAACTTTTCTGTTAGGCCTATAAAACAGGGATGGGATAGCAAACACAGATAGCATCAGTGGCCAGAAAGGTAACTTAAATGAATAAGTCATTTTAAGATAGTAGGAAGTAGTAGAAACTATGACAAAGTGGAGAATAAATGTCCAACCTGCAGGAATTTTTAAAAAATGCAAGCCAAATAAAACAGCAAGTTTTAAATATTGTTGGCATGGGTCCCTAAAAAAGCTATCCTAAACTTCCCTTTAAATACCTACAATGATTCAGAAGAGGGAAAAAGATGAAAACCAACAACTATGGTGAAAATCAGAACTATCATTCAAGCTATTTCCAGAATTTGAAACAAAAAATTCCACTTATTAGAAGACTGATTGATGAAACTAGGTGGAAGAATAATCAAGCTATACCTACCTAGGAGTTATTAAGAGAGCCCTTTTTCTGTTTTCTACTGTCAGGCTGCTTTAAAGCACATTCTAAACACAAAATTTAGTAACTATACTTGTTCCAAGTGATTGTTACTTTTTGTGGAAAGAACAGTGCATGTCTGATTCCCCTAAGTAGCTCTCTACCAATCAAAAACTACAACTCCCAGAAAGCACCTGGGAAGGAAGTAGGAAGTAGAGGCATTATGAAAGGCTCTACCTACCATGTATTAATTTATTATTGATACAGTGGAGAGGAAGAAGATTCCATCTCACTCCTAGAGAGGCCATGAAGAGGTTAGGAACAGTACATTTGAAACTGCCTAATATTCCTATCTCTGAATGTATCATAATTATTTAACTTATTTCCCAATCTAGGATAGTTGCTTAAAATATTTTTGACACTTTTCTATGATAAACAGCCTATGATGAATAACCCTCACCTAAATCTTTCTCCAAATCCTTTTTCCTTTCAATAAATTCCTTTCATGCTAATTATCTCTAATTCTTTTTTTCATAATATATAAACATAGTCCTCTCATTACATCTCAATGCATTATTTTATTTGTTTACATTGTGAAATAACTGTTTAGTCTTTTACTAATGTGTGAGTTCCTCAAGGGATAGAGATGGTTTATATTACGTTGGATAACAGGCAACTAACACAGTGCCTCATATACATAGATAGCTAATGAATATTCATTTACTTACTGGATGAATGAATGGGAATGACTGTTGAGGAAGGAGAGTTAGTGAAGAGTCCTGATGGCCAAATGTATTAGTTAAGACATGGCATTTTCCAATAAGCCAACTATGAAAGGTCTTGAGCTCAGAAATGATCTAAGAGGAATGATTGGAGGAGCTGTAAGTGCTCTATGTGTTGAGATCTGTCCAGGTATGAGAATGAGGGCTTGGATAATCACAAATGCATATGGTGGCACTTTAATAATCGACATTGCCCAACTATTCAAATTTTAATTCTAAAAGCTAACATTTTACATAATTAAAAACCAAATTCCATTTTTAAAAAACCACAAAACCTTCCAGGTCCCCTGTAAAGAATAGAAAGAAAAAGTTTATTCTTATAAAAGAGGATAACATAAATCCACAGTGCCTGTTCCATTTCTATTCAGATAGATTATTTACTTACAAAGTTCAATGGATTGTGCCATTGTGGGCTAACAATATTTGGGAAGTCTTTCAATCTGCATTCTTCTGCCATCTTCCTCCCTGGATATTTTCATGACAGTTGGAAAATCTTCAGCTCTCTGCTTACATCAGTGTCTTTGTTTGTCAAGTGGAGATCATGGCTTCCACCCCTCACAGGAGTAGTATGAAGATTAATGGGAAAATGCAGGGAAGCACTGGGTTCTGAGGCATTTTGATCCAGTGATTCCTTTGAACACTGTGGATGGCCATCATTGTATCTCATCATATCTGAACATATTTTATTGTGGTTATTCATCTGCAGAATGACCTGTGACCCGACTAGGGCTTTTTAGTTTGTTTTTTTCCTTTTTTACAAATAGCAAACTACAATGAAGAATAGCTCTTTATTCACCTGTGAAATGTGTGGGAGTGAGAGGTGGTGAGGGGAGAATTACTAGTAATCTTCTTGAGTATATCTGTGAACAATTCCTCCCAGCCAGTTAGTTCCTGGAAGTTTGTATCGCTTCCACTTCTCCTAAAGCAACTGCTATTGTGTGGTGTGAGTGCAGCTGAGAGAGTTCTTAAAACCCTTTAACCACTTTGTTGTCTAACACTTTGACTATTTGAACTGAGTCTGTTTCTGGTCACCATGAATTCTGTAATCTAAAAATACTGCCCTGTTCTCTGACTAAATAAATGGGATTTTTATAGGACATTGGCACAACACTGACATTTACTGAAATAATTTTTTTAGTGTTCATTCAATTAGAACTAAAGTCACCTTCATGTGAAATAGACAATAATTTCTACCCATGTGCACAACTGAAGAAGCCAGAATGCAGTCAAAGTGAAGACATGCATATAACAATCACATAGCTATGACATACTTATTAAGTAATTCCATCCAGATTAGCATTAATAGTAATCTGGGCAGGAGTTTTTAATACCCTGATAGTTGGCTCTCTGAAGTTGTCAAACGAGAGAGCTCTGTACTATAGGCAGATTTACAGCCATCTCCTGGGCATTAGGACCAACATTCCTGCTAAAATATTTGTCATTTTATCATATCAGATTTTTAATTCACAGCATACTTCCACACTTGTCTAAAGTTAAAAAACTGGTTCTTTTTAGTAAACAATAAATATTTTTATATCTACTTTAAAGCTTAAACAGTTATTAACTTGTATTTTTTTCTGTTTGAGGACAATTTAGAAGTAAGCTGAATTTTATTTGCTTGATTAAAACATTCTAAATCACAATCAACATTTCTTTCATAAATTAAGAGATATTTTGTTTAAAGAGTATCCACTTGGCCAAGAGATGGCCTGCTAGGGAAAAAGAAACAAGTATATTATTTGAGCAGATGAAATAGTTTAAAAGAGTAGAAACCTAACATAGTAGATGAAAAAGAGCAAACCACATTGCATTGGCTTTTCTCGTAATCAATATGCCATATTTTAAACTGCAGAGAAGCTATTATTAGCCTGGCGAAGACCATTTACCAACATCTTTAACATAAGCTTCATTGTGAAAAGGAAGAAAGGGGATAAATATATCTCTACATGTGAACTGATACATGTAAAATAAACCTGGAATATTGGCCTTAAAAACTGGTACATCTTGGATCACTTAAGTCCCTCTTATACTGGGAAAATCTTTCCAATGTCTCAAACTTCATTGTAATGACGTCTATTTGTTGTGCTGAAACTTTAATTTGTGATCCATCCAGATATCTAAAATATGAGATGAGCTCTAAACAACTCCATTTTCCATGTCACGTAAATTTTGGATAGTTTCTAGCTTTTTCTTTTTTGTCATTGATTAGTAAGGTGGTTTATGTTTGACCTAGGACATGGTCTCATCACAGTCCCATTTTCATGTCTGTCTTGATCAGAGCTAGAATTTATATTTCAGCATTTGTATTATCAAAACTACCTTTTCCTTGCCAAAAAGAAAAAAGAAAAAAAAAGGAGAGAAAGAACATCATGAGAACAAGATTGTCTTAGAGTTTAACTACTATATCCTTACATCAGCAAAAATGGCATCAGCAATATCATCAGTAATGTTCTAATAGCATTACTTCTTTAAAACACCATGTAATTTAATAGCACACATATTTCTCAATTCAATAAAGTATGTTTACTCAATTACTGCTTTTAACAGGTATCACAATCAGTACTTTCTTGGGAAAGATGGAAGCTTCAATTCTGCTTTTAGTGTAAACTTATCAAATATTTCTCTATGCTCTTAATTCAATAACATTTATATAAGTGCCTACTTATGTATGCCAGACACTGGGAGAAGTTCTAAAGATTGAGTGATGATCCAATCAAAGTCTTGCCCTGGTAGAACTTATATCTAACAGTGGAGACAGGCGATAAACAAATAAGGAAGCAAATCAAGAGAAAACACAGTGTGTATAACAATGTCAGGAATGCTAAGTGCAATGAAGACAAACAGGCAGTGATAGGGGAAGGGAGAGGTTGGCTAACTTAGATACAGCAATCAGGGAAGGCTGCCAGAAGAGGTAACATTTGGGCAGAAATCTTAATTAAGTGAGGGAAGAAGTCATGGAAGATATGGGTGGAATGTTCCAGGCACAGGGAAAAATAAGGATAAAAGTCCTGTAATGCAATCTTGCTTGGCATCATAATGGAAAATCAGAAAGACCAGTGTAGCTGGAAAATGATGGTGGGGAGTGAGATCAAACATAGGCAGGGACCAAGGCTTGTGGGGCCTTGAGGTCACTGTGAGGACTCTGGATTTTATTATGAGTATTATAAGAAGTCATTGGTGGATCCTGCACAGAGTGGCATGGTCTAATTTATATTAAAAGATTTACTGTGACTGCAGAGCTAACTGCATAGAATAGGGAGAGCAGTTAGAGGCCATTGCAAGGGTCCAGGCAAAAGATGGCGGTGGCTTGGACCAGGTGGCTGCAGTGGAGGTAGTGAGAAGTAGTCAAATGCAGGCTATACTTTTATGACAGAGGCTATAGGGTTAGCTGGTGAATTGTGTGTGCAGGAGAGAGGCATTAAGATCATTCTAGGTTTTAGCCCTCAGCAACCTATTGAGAGGAGGAAAGGAAAATGCAGGATGGTGGAAAGAAATCCAGAGTTCTTTTTGGATGTGTAAAGTGTGAGATTCTTCTTCCACATGAACGTAGAGAAGTGAACTTGGCAATTGGTACGTGCGCTTTCTACTGCTGTGTAACAACTTACCACAGTTTAACAGCTTAAAACAACACCCCTTTATTATCTCTCAGGTCCTATAAGTCAGAATTACAGGTCTGCGTTAGCCAGGGTCTCACCAGGATGAAATCAAGGTGTCGGCCAGGGCTGTGATTCTCATCTGAGGGTTAGGATCCTCTTGCAAACTCGCTGGTTGTTGGCAGAATTTACTTCCTTGCAGCTGTATGACTGAGGTCCTCGTTTTCTTGCTGGCTATCGGTCAGGGATTACTCTCAGCTCCCAGCGGCTGCTCTCAGTTCCTTGCCATGTGCCTCCCATGGGGGTCTCACACCAGAGCTGTTTGCTTTCTTCCAGGCCAGCAGGAGCAGGTCTCTCTGATGCTTCACCTTCTTTTAAAGGTTCACCTGATTAGGTCAGGCCCACTCAAGACAAGCTCCCTTTTGATGGTCTCCAAGTTAGTAACCTAAGAACAGGGATGATATCACATCATGTTCATGGGATCCACCCAAACTCAAAAGGGTGAAATTACATGGGTGGTGCACACCAGGGGACCACCTTAGAATCCTGCCTACCACAGTTGGATATGTGATGGTTATATAGGCTGGAGTTTGGTGATATTCCATGGCTATTAAAGCCATGGGATTATATAAAATCACCTAAAGAGAGAGATTGTAGATGACAAAAATAATAATAATTTAAAAATAATTATATATAGGGATGAGGAAAAGGTAGGTTTAGAGTTGTTCATATAAAAAATAGTACAGTAATTAACAAATAATACTATAAGAATAAACTGTGTTTTGTATACTCACAACTGTAGACCTACTTTTGCCCACCTTGTGTAATGCTAGCTAAGTACATTCTATGTGCTAGGTGCCAATCTCAGTGCTTTACACATATTACTCTTTGAACTCTCGCAGCAATGCTTTGAGGTACCTACAATCCCTGTTTTACAAATTAAGACACTGAGGCAGAAAGAGGTTAATTCACTTGTCCAAACTCATTCTATACTATTTAAGTGGTGGAGCCAGTATTTGAACCCAGCCAATCTGGCTTAAGAATCTGTACTCTTAATCACCATTCAATACTGCATCTTCCATTACAAGAGATGAGGAACAAGAATGAGACCTAAAGCTCCAACCTTTACGTCTACAAATAAGAGGAGCTACTAAAGGAAATGGTGATGGAGAAGTTCTTAAGTAAAGATGAATCAGAAGAGCCAAATGTAGAGAAAACCATGAAAAAAAACAAGAATGATCAGCTAAATCAAATAGTAATGCATTCATCATTAATGTACATATTACTTACTATGTGCCTGAGAGTATAGCAGTGAACAAGATAGGCGAGTCTTCCCTTTATGCAGTTTACATTACAAAAGGGGAAAGGAGATTGCCAATAAACATGTAAATGAGTGCTTATCTAAGCTCATTTCACACAGCACTAAGACAAAAATAAAACTGAATTTTGTATTAGGAATCAATAGGATTTACCCTATCAACATTTGCTTCACTTTTTGTATTAATCTGCTAGGGCTATCACAATAAAATACTACATACTGGGTGGTTTAAGCAACAGAACTTTATCTTCTCACAGTTCTGGAGGCCACAAGTCCATGATCAGGAGGCCATGGGGGTAGGTTTCTGGTGAGACCCACTTTCTGGCTTGTAGATATTACTTTCTTGCTGTGTCCTCACACCGTCTCTCCTGTGTGTGCACGGGGAAGAGGGAATGCTGGTGTCTCTCCTCTCCTAATAAGGACATTAGTCTATTAGGTTAGGGCCCTGCCCTTATGACCTCATTTCATCTTCGTTATCTCCCTAAAGGCCCTGTCTCCAAATACAGTCATATGGGTGTTTGAACTTCAACATATGAATTAAGGGGAGGGGGGCATAATTAAGCCCATAACATTCTTTGGCCCCTCAAAAGACTTCCCAACATGGGGGGAGGGGATGGAGAGTAGAAAAGTGAGCTTTTATATAGAAAAATTAGAGCAAAATATCAAAACACAGAGTCCCAGTTCTCCTTTAATATTAAAGAAGGTGTTTGCTTAAAATTACAAAGCTCTTAAAGATATAAAAATATTAAGTGACACTTATTGAAAACTTTGTGAAATCTTTGAATTAGTGGATTTGAATGAGCAAATTACTGATTTTTTTCTTTTAAAAAGAACTGAATGGTTTTTTTTTTTTATTTATACACACTTACCCAGAAGTTAAACATTTTTATTTTCCATTCCATATGAAGAAATTTCCAGATTTGAAAATCATAGGTCTTTCCATGCTCACGAGTTCTACGTGACTAACCCTCCCCGTTGGCCTTTAGATGGTCAACTGTAAGTCATATCAGACTAAGACCCTGCCACATCAGGGTAAGGCAAGGGGCCAAAGATAAACAATCTCAAAGATGATCAGATACCCAGAAGGAGGTCTGGTGTAAAGACTGAGCTGCACCAACCCAATTCCCTCTTGCAGGAATTGTGAATAAGCCCTGGGACCCGAAGTTGAAAGCAAGCATAGGAACTATGAAGTAGAGTGAAGTATGACAGACGGTAAGCCATGCTGTTGAGGAATTAATAACCCTAAGTATGCAAAATCTGAGTTAGAGGAATTGCATCGAGGACAAGGTGAAGAGGCACAGTCAGAAGCAAGAAGAAAATGAAGCAGTTTAGAGAGAATCAGACATGCAAGTTACAAAGAGTATAGTCAATTCCCCAGATGTCTTGGTGTAACCCAGGCATAGACTCAGAAACAAGAGATATGAACGGCAAAAAGGACAGTCAGAAAAAAAAGCCTAATTGGTGGAATAATGACACTTTTTGCATACCCCACTGATGTAGGTCAAGCATCCAACCTGATCAGTGAAAGAAGGTACATTACCACCCACCCTACTGGGCCTCTCCCACGTCTCTGTGTATATTTTTTTTAAAAAAAGGTCTGGCAGACACACACACAAACCCCCCAAATTTGTACCAGTGCTTTCTTACTATGCTGTCAAGTAATAATATTGAACCATACAGACTTGGGAAAATGACTAGTGCTCTATTTTTTTCTACAACCTGCGACTCTAGTTCCTGTCTTTTAGGGTATCTTACATGGTCACTCACAAAGCAAGAGCTTCTTCTTCTTTGTACCCACTCAACAGTCCTTGGTCTTTTTCATCCCCTTTTTTCTGTCCCAGGAAGCACACACCTTGTAAGCTGAAAGTCTTGCTTACCTTCTGTGCTCCATTTCCACTGCTGAAATAGGAATGTTTATTATATTGCTGAGAAGGGAGAGAAGAGGACAGGCATTAAGGTACTCTCATCTCAGGATGAGATATCTAAAGGAAAAAAGGATGTTCTACTACATGGAGTGAATCTCCTTCCTAAGTAGCTTTTATATCCTATTATACCAAAATCCCTCCTTTCTTTCTCAAACTTGAAGTAAATGACAAAGAGCCCTCTTGATGTGGTCTCTTATAGTTTCTCAGATTCATTCCAATAAACTCCTTTTTTATTAAGGTTAATGGTAAAGCCTTTCTTTACAACTAATACGAAAGTCAGTATCCAAATTATCATTAGTTTTGAGGGGAGTGGAGTGTGAGCTATTAAAATTTTATTATGGTCTCAAACACCACTCAGCTTCTGCTTACATTCACTATATGTTAAAAGCATACTTGGACAACTGGATGACCACATGCAAAAAAAAAAAAAATTTATATCCCTACCTCACACCAAGTACAAAACATAGTTCAAAATGGATTAAATACCTAATTCTAAGAGATAAAACTGTACAAGTATTAGAAGAAAACATAGGTATAAACCCTGGTAACCTTGAATTCGACAATAGTTTCTTAGCTATGACAACTAAAGCATAAGCAATCAAAGGAAAAACTAAATATGCTGGACTTCATCAAACTTAAAAACTTCTGTGCCTCAAAGGATACCATCAAGAAAGTAAAAAAGGAAACCCACAGATTGGGAGAAAATATTTTTAAATCATGTATCTAATAAGAAATGTGCATCCAGTATTCAAAAAAACTCTTACAACTAAACAATAAAAGGACAAATAACCCTATTTAAACAGTGGGGAACAGATTTAAATAGACATTTTTCCAAAGATGTACAAATGGTCAAAAAGTACATAATAAGATGCTCAACCTCATTAATCAACAGGTAAATGCAAATCAAAACCACAAAGAGATACCACATTGGGTACACTAGCATGGCTAAATTTAAAAAGATAGATAATAATAGGTATTGATGAGGATTTGTAAAAATTTGAACCTTCATACAAGGCATGAAGTATCGACCATGATATAACATTGATGAACCTTAAGACATTATGCTAACTGAAAGAAATCAGCCAGAAAGCACCATATATCACATGATTCCAATTACATAAAATGTCCAGAATAGGCAAATCCATAGAGACAGAAGATAAATTAGTGGTTGCTAGAACCTGAGGGGAGGAAGGTTTGGAAAATGAGTGCTAAATGGCTATATTGTTTCTTTTTAAGATGATGAAAATATTCTAAAATTAGAGATTGAAATGATTGCACAGCATTGTGAATATACTAAAAACCACTGAATTGCACATTTTGGAAAAATAAATTTTATGATATGTGAATCATATCTCAATATAGCTGTGTATATTTTTAAAAAGCATTCTTAGACGTAGTAATAGGTTGAAATAATTACTTGACCATATTTTAACCTTTATACTGATCTTTTATTATTCAGTTATTCAACAATCATTAATGAAGAGTCTGCTATTTATAGGTAATCTTCTAAGTACTGGGACTAGAGAGTTGAACATGTTACAATGCTATTAAGGAACTAATAGACTAGTGAGGCTAATATAAACATCATACAGTTTTAATACTATATGACATGTGCCATAAGCCATAATAATGATATGGACCGAGGAGTGGCTAAGAATCTAATCTGTAGAAAAGGGGTATCTTGAAATTAATTCCTCTGCCTTCCTTGCCTTACTTTTTGGAGATCAAGCAGTCAAATGTCAGGAAATTGCAGAGACAGAAGAGAAACAAGAAGCCAAGAAGCCTGTTTTTCCCAGATCTACGCTATCAGTAGTTGGTGGGCATGAGGATATGCATACAAACTGCTGTGTTTCAGTCAATTAAGCATGTCAGCTACTTCTGCCTTAGAGAATAGTACAGCTGTAAATAAACTTCCGTCTCTGTCTTCATTTAAATTCATATTTTATCATCAAAACCAATATCCCATGATTTCTTTTCAGTCAATATATCTGAACAGTTGACTAAATAGGTCCAACATTTCCATCAAAGCAACTTAGACATGTGCCTATTTTGAAGGCAATAATAGATGTTTACCAAAAACCCTTACCATCTCATCTGCTTATCATCACCCATCTAGAAATCCCAGTCACACTATCGCGTCAGTCAGATGTGCCTAATTCACTGAAGGATTTCCAGAAGTCTGCCTAAGTCTGAGTTGAGTCC